AATATCTTATAGTAGTAACTAATCTCTCGGCTTTCATTTCATCGAAAGTTGGGAAATTTTGCTGGTGGGGTTGAGAAAATTTGGATTCCCTCCCACCCTGGTTTTTCTTTTCGCTACGGCCCTGAATACATTATTATTATATTTTACTGAGAAGTTTTTTCAACGACTAAATGGTATATTTTTTTATGACTTACTTGCATCCAAGGCTGCATCTAATCCAAATTTTATAATTGGTCTTCCCCTTCTTTGGCTGGCATTAAAATCAATACCATTCTCAATAGACTGCTCAATACCAATTAGATCAGAAGAAACAGAATTATAAAGATCCACCAACAAAGCAGAATTCACTCTGTACGGTGAACTGAGCTCGTTTATATGAATTGTATGATGTATAGTCTAAAATAGTATTCACGTTATATACATTCAACAAAGTTGAACTAATTTCACCTTATAAAGGACATGCCAGTCTCTAGTAGTGCCCCTTGAATGTCCAATTCTCGTTAAAATAACCTGAAATATGTCTCTTAAATGAAAGATCTCTGGATATTTAAAAAAACGTACGTTGATATCGCTACCAATTTGTTTCATATTATCCTGTAAACTTTCCACAAACTCTTTGTTGCCAGGTTCTAGCACGAAACTGATGAAATCTAAACGTTTATTGATCACCTCTATGTTATTTGTGGGACTCAACAGCATATTTCTAAAATGGAAATCAGCAGTATAGGTAAATGTAGAGTTAGTTCCACAAATTCTAAGATTTCGTTACGGTTGTATGCGTATATCGATTTTTAATAAACAATGTATTTTTATCAGCGGCGGCTCGTCAGAGGAGGCAAGGGGGGCTTAGCTTCCCCATAAAATTTGAGGCTATTAATCGCAATAAATTAAAAGATATTGACAAATAATTATGATTATTTTTTTCTAAAAATGCTTGCTTATCATTACTTTACCATTAATTTTTAATATAAATACATAATGTGCCCGAAAAAACACTATCACTCACTACGTAGTACGTACCACACTGTATCCTGCATCAACAAAACTCAAATGCACCGCCCATGAACGAATAACGAATAAACTATCAACCCGAAATAATAAATGCCATACGTTGCAAGGGAGCCAATCCTCCGATCACTTTAAAAAACACAGGCTATACGAGACCGATCCAAGCAGCGACATACGTCCCGATTTGTAATTTCAGTTGCAGAAATTATAGCGTCAGAGGAGGCTAGCCTCCAGTTGGTCTCCGTTAATGTACGACTGCGTTTGTTTTTTATTTAATTATTCGGACGGGATACCGTGACGGTCCGGGACTAAAAAATATTCCGGTAAACGGTTTTAGTGTTTCTTGATAATATTTGTTATTTGTGTATAAAACAGGCAGTATTATATTATAGCAGTGCTTTTTGGTAATATTTTTAATGTGTTTTCAAAGTGTTTCCTTTCAATTTCAAGGTGTTTCTAGGTTTTCACTTTTCGGTAAGTTTTTTTTTATTTATTATGGATAAGTTGGACGAAATTAAAAAATCTGACGATATAGTCGATTGGTTGCTGACAAATAATTTTAAGTCTTTATCTTATGATAATAAATTTTACATTATTAAAACTCTGGAAAGGCCTCAACCAAATTTGATTTCAATTATATCGTCAGATAATCGACAAAATCGAGGATTTAATATTAGTTGGTACGATAAATGCGATTGGTTAACCGGTTCCATTAAACGAGAAAAACTTTTTTGTTGGCCCTGTGTTTTATTTTCCGTACAAACCGAATACCAAACGTGGTCTTAAATAGGATAATCCGATTTAAAAAATTTACCTTCTGTTATGGGGCAAATATGATTCACAATTTGGCACCTGTGATGGGGCTGCGGTCATGGCCGGCCATTTAAATGGTTTACAAACTGAAATAAAGTCCATAGCTCCTCGTGCACTTTTTATGCATTGTCATGCCCATGCCCTAACTTTAGTATTGAGCAAAGCGTGCAACAACATAAAAATTTTCGCGCCTCCGGCGGACTTTTCTGTGTTTATATAGTCTATATGACTTAAGCCACCCCTGTTCTCCAATGCACGAGCCGTCACTGATATTTATATATAAACATTGTTCCCCAAAAGTAATCTTTGACAAAAATATTTGAGAAAAATGCTCGAGCAGGTCAATTTTATTTTTTTGAATGGACATTTGGAAATGTAATGTTCAATTACTCCACCCTGCATATTGCTATGGCATCACATTCGGCACCTGCTTGAATACCGGGGTAACAAATAGAAAACGTAGTTAGAGAGTGATGCGAATTCTTATGAACTTCTTGCTAATGGCCAAACAATTGCATCTAGATCAGGCAATTCATTGCGTGAAAGTACTTATTGTAATGAATATTGTGATACTGTGGTTGAGAGTACTTGAAAGCAATGAAAGAAGAATAAATGACTGAGTTGAGAAAGTAAATAAACTATGTACTGGAATTGTGACTGAACACTTGTTAGAGAAATGAGTTTGAGTAAATACAATAAAATACAAACAATACAATAGATATCAGTTTTAACAATAAAGAGTGAATAAGTAGAAAATAGGGCAAATAGACAAACAGGTAAATACATTCTTGAAATAAAGTAGTCATAAAAGAAAAGAACTGGAAGAAGAAGAGTGCAAAAGAAATGAAGAACAGGAATGAAAAATAAGAACAGGAGAGAAAAATAAGAAAAGGCTAGGAGATGTCAAAACAGATCATTTTGAACTGAAAAGAAAATAGGAACAGCAAAACCAGCAACAAAAAACTTTTAATAAAAATTAATGAAGGTCAACGAATTTTCCATAAGAAAATAGTTAAACTAGTGGAAAGTAACATTCAGAGGTTTCGGATGAAGCGCAAACAAACGAACTGGAAAAAATTAACGAGCGAATGTTGGAATGAATGAACCAAAAATGAACGAAAAAGGTGGGCAAGCTAAAAGACCAATTCGATTATACCCACATAGCCAGCTAACCTGTTCCGTTTGAGACAAGTACATCCGCCTCAATAGAAAGAGTTCTACTGGCAACATCAGGGACATGACAAAGTAAAACGCTGAAGCATCCAGGTTTCGATGGTCAGTCATCGTGGGCCATGTACTGACCAACGGCTAGACGGAAGAAGAAAAAGTCACTGCACTAATACTTCATAACATTCCGGAAAGTAGCCAAGATGATCAACAAAAGCTCTAAAAAGGCGATTCGGGTAGCAATATTTGAAGCAAATATATGATAACTAACTACAGAGCAGGTATGAACGACCGCAAAAGTCCTTGCATGAGAACGGGACAAATAAAGAATGACATCAATCTAGCCTACCCTCCAGCCCCAAAGAAATTAGTTCAACAACCTTCATCGATGGATTATGGGATACAGCAGGGGTGCTCAAACTTGAACTGTTAGCGATCTACCTCAATATTGTTAGACTGCGATCGATCAACTCTGAGAGGCTGCAAGTATGTGATGTAGGATTTTCGTCTAGGTAGGGTGTATCGTGGCATAGATACTAGTTTTCCGCACAATATTCATTTTTTTAGTCAAGATAAGTGTAAGTCTGCTGTAAAATGTCAATAAAAAAACTCATAATTATTCAAAATTGAGAGTTTATTGGTTCTCATAAAACAAACGAGCTCTAGTGTCTAAAATTAACTGAAGAGTTACTTTGGATGTTGATGCGTGGCACTGCATGTCCTCAGTTCCTCAGTATTTATTTATATCGGCGCGATCGAAGTCTCGAATGTTCCCGCCAAACACGCCGCCCGAAGTTTCTAGAGAAATCGACGGGAATCACCGCGGATTTTCTTCGACAAGTACCGCGCGTTCCTTTGATAAAGCCACCTTTTGCCGCTAGCAGGGGGTTATTACGATGAAAGAAAGTGATGAGGGTGTTATTTTGGCCTAATTGTGGATCGAATAAATTTTAGTAGTTTATTGATTTCATTTTGTTCTAGTGACCTATGTACTAAAACAAAATCTATGAATAGTTCTATATCGGATTTTTTTCCCGAGGTCGACTCAAAAAGCAATCGTGATCGACCGTTTGAGCACCCTGGATACAGAGATGCGGCAAGTCTCAAGACTAGGTAGACACTCAACGATTCATGAGGAATTGATAGCTGCACTAGAGTTTGAGGCTGCGAAAATCGCTTCCGGAAGAATGCAAATGCAGTTGAGAAAGATAACCTTGCTAAACAAAAAACGCTGAAGGAGGAAATCAACGAGCTTGTACAAACCATTTCAAAATGGAAATAGCGTTCATATTACTTGGTAAGCTAGGGCATCTGCACTAAATTAAATAAATGAAGAGCACAAACAGGAAGCCCCTAGATCAAATCGTAGCAGGAGAAATGACATTGAATCAAGGAGAGATGAAAGATGGCCCACACCCCTGAGAGAACACCAATATCAGAAGGACGAAGCCTTGTGACAAATGGTATTGAAATAAGCAGAGCAGAGGCTTCAATCTTATAGGAAGATGAAATTCGGTAACCGATACGTACTGCAACCATAGGTTGGAAATTGGAGGGACAAGATCCAATGGCAACAGATGAATTAAGATAAAAATTAGATTTATTTCTGCAGGACGAAAGAGAGTACCTTAGGTAATTAGTTGTACTTAAAGGACACTGTCCCGATTATAATTTTGCCCCTGCTCATTTTAGTCTTAAGATGTGTGTTGCATAAACTTGATATTATTTTCTTGAAATCACTACAGCACATTATTACTTTGGAACTTGTTAATAATTTACAACAGAAAAATAATATAGAATCGACACAATAGGCATATAAAACTAACCTCAGGCACATTAAACCACCTTTTGATTTGCAATTCATAGAAAATAATTTGTAGATACTCAAACCTTCTCTGTTGCTAGAAGGCACACCACGCTTGAAACTGGCATCATGACTACGTTTGGAGAATATATGAAGGGCACGGAAAGTTGCATTATCAATCAACACATGGTCTTTCCTACAAAATAAATAAATTTTAGTTGTTCTATAGACCAAGTACATGGCATTAGAAATGTCGATTCATATTCAATATTCAAAAGTGAATATAATCAAAAATGTAATTTTTAATTCAGACTATGTATACCTACATACTAACATACGTATAGGCGTCACAAAGTTGTAATTAACAGTCATAGAGAATATTTGAATACAAAACAGTATGAATTCATTCAAACAGATATAAAATCAACTCTCAATTATTAAAATATTCTTGTATGTATAGTAAGCTTAAGTCAGAAAGAAATCACTCAGTAATTTCTTGAATCTTGAGGACAAGTCTTCATTTGTTCTGGTAGCTTATATTTTGTGTTTATTGTTTTGTGAACATTTTTTTTATAGTTTCATTACCTTGAGACCTTGGATATGTGAAGATACTGCAAGTCATTTTTATCAATATTGAAATGAGTCCAATTTTTTTCTAGATATTTAACAAGGGTTCCTATTGCTTGTATTGACAAACGACTGTCAAAATCGATAAGGGAACGGATGTATAATTCTCTCTTTGTTTCTGATGGCTCATCTTCAATTGACGGCAGTTTCAGCTGCGAAATCATAACTTTGCATATATCGTAAGCTGAAAGACATGAAATAAGTTTGAAGGCAATTTCTTTGAGGCTCAATATCAGTAACTTACAATATTCCCTGGGCGGTACTAAGAAAAAGTTTGCTGGTATGGTTTGAATACTATCTGATGTTGTAGTATTTGATTCATTTGTAGCCAGGTCTATAAGAACTTTTATGAACTCGTCTGCTATACTTCCTGAAGTTAACACGAACCTAGGTTCGATTTCTCGAAAAAAGTTGACTGTTACTGGGTACTTTGGAGATGTATCCAACATTTCTTCGTAAGCATACAGCTGAAAACTCGATAACACTCATTACAAATATACTTTTCAAACAGTATTTATTGAAAGCACTTTCCCTATCTCGCGACGCGCATTTTTTTAACCACGTTAGCATCATCAGGAGTTTTAGTCATCCACAGATGATGCGTACTTAATGCTCGTCGGGAGACAGCCTTTTAATTTTGGTGGGGGAAAAGTTTCTTCAATAGATGAGTTTCACCTCAGAGGTTCAAAATTCTACTTATCAAATAGTAATTCCTAAACGTGAGAACGTTGGAGGACCAAATAGAAATTAAAACTTCGCTTTCATATTTGAATGTACTATAATAACCCAAAATTGATTTGAAATGACACCATATTAGTATTCTCAACTTGTATCAGTATCAAAAATGCATTACGTAACATTTTTACAAATGTCAAGTATGAATACTAGACATATTCTCCAAATTCTTCGATTTTTGATGTCCTTTGATCTTCTTAAAAGGAATTCACGATTCATTTATTGAAATACCAATGAACTGAGATTGGTTAGAAATATATAACATCAATGAGAATTATGTAAGGATTAAAGGAATGTTTATGTGAAATAGTCGAAAATAAAATTATTGCTCAATACTATGATATCTACATCAGTGAATCCAAATTTAAAACTTATGTATAATAAACGAAAAATGGAATATAACAGTACTTTTGTAAGATAGCAAAAAAGTATTTGAGCCAATGGTAAAATAAAATGAATATGGCGAATACGTACGGATATAACATGTTGAGGAACTAGTATTGTTATGCAAAGAGGAACGAATTTGATTGCCAAAACGTCAACATTCTCTTAGAGGTAAGTTGTTCTTATTATTTAAGTATATTTTGAGGGCAAGAATTTAGAACCGGTATTCCTAACTATTTCGGTATTATTATCTTTACGTAAGACCGTAAGGTCTTAAATGGGATTTCTCTTTGTTTATTTACTAATTGAACTAGATTTTAGGGTGAAAGACCATGTGAGAAAAAACATCATTATTTAAATAAATCGTTTATCAGCTCAGTAACTTTTCAGCATACATTTTCTAAAAACATCTGTTTTTTTTAGTATAGTACCCAAAAATTCAACCAAAAAATAATTTCCTTTAAACAATAGCAGAAATTCACAGCTAACCTTAACTATTCAAAAAAGGCAAAGAAAGTAATATAAGTAGGTAATATTTCAAATATATCGCAGTCCATGATTCTTAAAACTGCCATTGAAAGAAAAATAAACCTAGAACTAGTGTTCAAATGAGAAGTACCTAATTATTACTCTCTAAAATAAATTGTTTATTAACTTTGGTGTTGCTTTGCACATTTCTTGCATAAGTAGTCAAAACTACAAACGATTTTTCTGACTCGAGCCGTTTGTACCATTGAAAAAAAAAGTACAGTTATTCATAAACAAAACATGTGTTTGCAAAAAATATTACTTGACCATTTTACTCAAACAACAAAAAATTATTAATATAAATTCATTTCATTACCATTTGTTCCTGAAAATCATAATAGGCAGCACCAATTTTGCCGTTTTTGCATATAATACTGAGAAGCTTCACAGTTTCACCACACTCATTTTCGTTTTCCTGATCAACTTCAATGTTTTGGTAATTATCTTCAATTATTGGCTTTCTACTGAGTTTAAAAAGTATTGTGGCGTTACTCTGATCAGAAGTTGATGCCATAGTTTATTATATTTTTACTACAAAACGCCTAGTACCTAATATAGTGATTTCTGAAAGGTAAGATATCTATAAAAACTATGTTCGATAAACGTTTTGTTTCCATGGCCAACTATGCTCTCGAAATGAAATAGTTACATTCTAAATGCATGGTAGATCAAAATTTAATTCCCTACAATGTTTCCTTTTCTTTTCATTACTTGAGAGAATGAAGTTTGTCAATGCGCGCCAAAAACGTGCGTCGTAAATCATTCAAGAGGGTAATCGACATTTTTCGTGAATAGAATACCCACTAAACTTTTTCTCTATGACCTAGAACAGGAATATTTTGAAATAATATTAATTTCTGAAGGATATTCCGAATGGTACAAATACCTTTAAAATTCCATAACAAGAAGCAAACTAAAAAAGTATTCAAAAATATTTTCAACTTTTGTTACTTTATTTGATTAACTTACTCCATATTGTATGTGGCATTATCATCCAAAAAAAATGTTATCTCAATCGGTTGAGGATAACTACAACTACTTTAAAATTCAGTTGCAAGTTTTGATCCAAACTGAGCTTTTACTGAGTTTTTGAAGATAAGAGAGGGAGCAAAGAAAATAAATTTGCTGTTTTTAATATATTTTTTGTGCAGAGAAAATATAATAGTATATTTTGAATACATTTGGAAAACAACCTGCAAAAAATCGTTTATCAAGAACGTCAGTGGCTCGACTATAACATCAATACACTTTTTTCACAGTATCTAAAAATCCCGAGGCGTTTTTATTTGCTATTGCTTCAAGAGTATGCAGAATATTAAATTCCGTGAAAGGTAATGTATCAAAGGGATTCAGACTGACAGTATAATAAGAAAAAGTACAGGGAAGTGATGATGTTTAACCGATTTTTTTTCAAAGAGCAATTCCGCGGAAGATGAAAAATGTTCTGCAGAAAAGTAAGATTTCTTGTGGATCTTTAATTTCTTCATTCAATTCATTTAAAAATATAATAGTTGGCTTTCTTCCATTTCTCAATTAATTGTTAATCATTTACCAAACTCATTAAGTTTTGTTACTGGAATTCCTTATTTTTTAATCAAAACGTGACTTATTTTTATTTTCAAATTGAGATCCTTAATCTTTTCTATATAAATCTGCTTCAATTGAGAGTCTACAAAAATTCGATTCATTTTTTTTTAATCCTAATTCTTTTGAAAGGACAAGGAACAATCTAAACACCGGGAAATTTATTTAACGAAAAAAGAAATCTCGCTATCCATATAAATGTAGTATAGTACAGTACAATCAACAGAACTTAATCTTCTGAATTCATGGATGTTTTTGAGGTGTAACTGACATATGCTTATAGTTAAATCAGCTACTTTTGTAGCTGATTTAACTATAAGCATATAATCAATGATAATGAATGACCCAAATAATTAGCTACCTCTATTTGGCTGAACCATTTTTCACTCGAAAAAATCAATAGGAATGTTGTCAAATTATATAGAATATAGAGAATTAATTTTTGTATGTGGATGTTCTAAAAGGGCCCATGAAGTTATAGAACTTAAAAATAAAAATGTCTTTCAAAAGTTTGGTGTTATTGTCCGATTGTTTCAGAAAGTCCATATTGAAATCTACACATAAGACCAAATAATCGGAACAATTATAGGCCACGTTACCAGTCTGGATTAAATACTTAACAAAAGACGAACTATTTGCAATTGCACGGATATTTCAGTGAAGTTTATTTCCTCATCTGATATATATTTTAGTTTTGAATAAAATTTTACCAAAAAAGGAATCTTTTATTTCCCTGAATTTTATCCTGTATTGAATTTTTGCAGTCCTTGGCTTACAGAAGTAAATTAAATAGAGGCCATATCACAATTTGTGAAATATTGTTTTACTTGAAAGTGAAATAAAACCGAGTTCTGTATAGATCATCATTTATCTTCCTACTAATGAAAAACAATAGTAGAAGATTCCCACATTTTTTTTGTATGAAGATGGAGAAGTAGAAATCCAGAACCTTTATTTCACAAAAACTGAATCTCTCCTAGAAACATACCCCCTAAAATTTTAACAGTAATAATGTTTCCATCTGTTTACTGTTTAGGTAAAGAGTCCTTCTTGTCCATCTTGTCGACCAACATTTTTCTGATAAAAAAAATTACTATAAATATTAATAAATTGTTAAGTATAAATATATAAATGTACTAATATACACAAATGAGCACATACACAAACAGTATCTTTGTTAAAGTGTAATCTTGTACATGGGTAAAACTATGATTGAGTAATTTTTGTATAAATGTATAAATAAAAAACAATACAAATAGTATGTACGCATATATACATACATACATACACATGAATATTATTGTTAGAGGTTATCCTCGAAAAATTCGTTTAATATATAGTAAGCCTTTTTGACCAGAATTGCCTTCAAATATCTCCTAAAAGATAGTAGAGTGACACATTCTGTTGAATTTTTAGGTAACTTGTTCTACATTTTCACTCCATTATATATAATTGAGTTCTTGATTTGACTACTTGTTGGGATAGGAACCTTTAATTGGCTAGCTTGTCTAGTATTAAATCTATATCTATAAAATTCACCATATGAAGGTCCAAGAAAAAATACTTGTACTTTACTCCCTTGAAGTTGTCTTCTTTATAAAACTGCTCCTTTTTTGTAGTTTGTCCATTTCTTTCATCTCTGTTGTTCATACTTATTTTTGAACTGTGTAATTTCAAATTGTATGTGAGGTGTATTATTTATTCTTTCACCTTATTGAGGTGCTACAAATTTATTGACGTTACTTGATGTAGTGAAATAAAAAAAGAATTCAAAGTATCATTTTAGGTTGTTTGTAAATACATATTTGAAATGGTATCATCTTTGATAAGTCATTAATCTCTAGGAAGAACTTCCTGATTTCGTTTACAGGCCCAGACATGCTCATCTATTCTCGACTTGATGGTTTCACCAATTTCGGATTTGCTGCATTTCTCTCCCATTTATTCACATTCACCTTATCTGAATATCTCGCTTTTACTATTTCCGTGTCCTATACTTTATTCATTAATCTTCTTTTGTCGAACTTTTTTATGATATTCTACCTTTTGATTTCAGAAAAGTTAATTTATTTATTTATTTACGAACTTGCCATTATATAATGAACATATAAATAGTGAAATGAAGGGGTTATATTCTTTAGAAGACTCCCTCATCCTTCTTTTTTTTTGTATCAAGATGGAGTAGTAGAAAGCCAAAAACTTTCTTTCCCAAAAATATAAATCATCTTGTTTTCTTTCAGACCTAAAAAGAAAAATGAAATTATTTATCAGCTACCAAATCAGTTGCTGAAAGTCATCAGGATCTCACTTGAACTTTTTTTTTTTAATATACTTTATTGTCTGAAGAATAAATTCTTATTGACAAAGCCTTGTGCGAAATATAAATAACATATACATGAATATAATGAAGCCATAACAATGAATGAATATAATGAAGCCTAAGTCAGTACAGATTATTTCAAATTGAACACCTTATACAGGGTGTTCCAAATGAAGTCGGCACCATTGCCAACTCCGTTATTTTTGATGCTACAAATTCGGTTAAATGGGCAAACTAGTTGCATTTTTAATTGCCTTTTCCATGCCGAAAAAAAAATTGAGTCGCTTTTTCAAAATTTTGCATATACTTTATCATGCATTTCAATTCGTAAAAACATTCTCAACAACAAAGCTCATATCACCTTTCTTCCTGGAGTTGAAATAGAGCGACTTATGTGGAAATATTTATTTATTTCACTAGTACAAAAAAGTCTTTGTTTTGGCAAATGAAACCTCATGATTGTCCAAACACCCAATGTTGATACTTATACGAATAATAATATTTTGTTACTAACAGCAAAAAGAAAAAATTGCGCTGGGATTGAAACTCATGAAACCGTGGTCATCATGTTGTACCACTCACTTGACACTAATGAGCTATTTGGTATTAATTTACAAAACGATAATTTCCATCTTAAAGCCATTCCACTAGCCGTATTCATTTTGTGATTCAAAATATGTCTGCTATAATGATAACATTGAAGCCGTTTTAGTACATAACAAAATAATGGAGGGTCATATTAATGCGGTTGGAAAAAAATGTGTTCGATTTGATAAAACAGAATTATTATGAGTAATCAAGTTGCCTTGAAATTTTCTTGAAATACTATTTGTCAAATATTCTCAAGTATATCACGACAATGTCATAAATTATTTTAACTGTCAACTACTGTTCGTCGAATATTTTTCGAAATGCCGTTTTCCCATCAAAAAAATGTGATATGTTAGAATCCTACTTGGTTTGCCAGAAAAATAGCGTAAGAGCACTCCAACACTACAGCAATTCGTTCCCCGATCGTGAATTACCTAATGGGTTTTTTTTTGCTGTGCTTCATCGTCGATTCAGGAACAATGAAAACATTTTTGAGAAGCGGAGAACTAAATAAAGTTCTGTAATATCTGAAGATACAGAAATTGACGTTTTAGCCCACTTTGAGATAAATCCAAATAATTCAACTAGAGAAATAGCTATTCCACCGTATGTTATTCAACGAATTCTGAAGAAACATAAGATGTCTCCTTTTAAATTAAGACCAGTGTGAACACCAGAACCTGGTGACCCTGAGAGACGATTGAGGTTTGGTCAATGGTTTATGGATAAATGCAACCAGATCCAAACTGCTATAGAAATATTATATGGAACGATGAGGCAAATTTTTCAAATTGTAGGATGTATAATAGAAACAAATTTCATTATAAGAGTAGACATAATTCATTTCTTGTCCATCCCCACAATCAGCAAAGACGATTTAGTATTAATGTTTGATGTGGTCTATTTAGAGGCATAATTATCAGTCCATTTTTCTACCATGGTTCTTTGAACGGACCCCTTTGCATTAATTTATTAACAAGAGTGTTGGAACAGCAGGATCGAGCTCCAGCACATAATTTCAATGGCATAAAAAGAATGTTGCGATACCGTTTTGAAAAGATATGGATTGCTACAAATGGTCCTGTTAAGTGGCCTCTTCGTTCACCAGACATGACATTTCTAGATTTTTATTCTTGGGGATTTCTGAAAAATGAGATGTACAAAACAAAACATAATAATGTAGATGAATTGAAAAATTATACTGACACTATAATTAATAAAATTGATGGCAGAAACAGCATGTAGTGTCAAGAGAAGGGCTCAAATATATGTTATACACCAAGACGGTGTTTTTGAATATTTACTCAATATTTTATAGCTCTTTATTCGCCAAAACAAAGGATTTTTGTACTAGTGAAAAAAATTAATATTTCCACATAAGTCGCTCATTTTCAACTTTAGGAAGAAAGGTGATATGAGCTTTATTGTTAAGAATGTAACCGAATTCGTAGCATCAATAATAATGGTGCCGACCTAATGTGGAACACCCTGTATATTTGATCATTCTGAATATTATGCCAATGTTGTACAGAAAAAAGTAGGATGAAGATCTATGTGATGGAATTGGTTGATACTTCATAAAAGTCTTTAGTAACACTTTATTGTGTGAAGTATACATCATTTTACTGACAGATTGTGTAAAAGCAAATAAGACAAATGAATAGATTCAGTAAAGGAATACTTACAGAGGTACTTTAGCTATATATTGATCATATCCCAAGGTATTTTTTCCATAATCAATTTGTTTCTGTCTTCTATTCAATACTTCTTCGTCTGATTCGTATTCTTGGGTTTTTTTACATTTTTTACTGAAAAAAGTTCACATTATTTAACGTCTTTTGTGCAAGCTTTCCAAACTTTATGAGTATAATGGATATGATATTTTATTTTAACCGTTTCAAATAAAATATCATATCCAGGTAGTGTATAGTCATATCCCATTATAAAAAAAGAAGAAAATCATTTGCTGCTTCAAGGTTCAGAAAAAAAACCAACTCAACTGCAAAATAAGCTATTAAACTGGAAAGTCAAGTTTTCTTATATAATGAATTTCTACATTAGGCTTAAATAATTCCTGAGTTGAACCATCTAGAAAAGAGTAATAACCACAAGTACATTAATCATGGATCTTCTTAATAATATCCCTCGTATCACAAAATTTCACGTATCCAAATATTATTCATCAAGAATTAGTCAACACAAATTGAGCTATGGCTGCTTTCCATCTCACCTTGCTAGAACAGTAAAACACCAAGCGGTAAATTGGCATTCAAGTCCAACCTCGACCAGTTATTTTTCTCGAGAAAATGTTTCTAGTGGAAGTTGCACTGATTATGCAAAGTTACATGTCTGATGGACAGTGAATAGCCATGACTCTTCCTAGGCGGCTAGGAAAGTTATCGACATTGCCCAACTAGCACACAAGGCTAATGACCATGCATTTGATATCGTAACAAAAAAAAACACAGATAAATGACCTTTTCTATGAAAACCCAATTTTCCCTGAATGTGAAAACAATTCATTCCAGTTCCAGAATTTCTAGTAAAACTAGCTTCATTTTTTCCATTCAATTGTGATTTTTTCATTTTTATCAATTTGTACTAGTTTTTCTTTGAATATGGACTATAATGAAATTTGAAATTAATCACCCCTGGGTGACATACCGCTAAATTAGTTGTCCTACGTATGACTTCCTAAACATATTTTATGTTCATGTTTTTTGTAGGTTACTCTAAGTTACATTTTTGTTCACTGTATATAATACCATTTATAGTTTTTTATTTTTATTACTTATTTGTTCAGGTAATATTATGACCTATGAACTGTTTGTGTTTTCTTAAGTTTAATTTATGAATATTTACGTTGGACTAATAAGAATTTCCTATGTTTTTACACTTACATGTAGTTTTGAATAAACTATCTTCCATTTTTTCCAATTTTATGATGAATTATTTAAGTTACATGCTTCAGAGACTTGTTTTTACAGCAATTAATAAGTTGATTTGAATCATGATTAAAATTAAATGAAGATATACCCTATCTAAAGAAAAAACTATACACAGATGGAATTGACCAATATGATTTTATTTAGACTTGAAGCTTTCCCAAAATGATACATTACAGTGTGGTGATTTTTTTAATGTGACAATGTAAATTATGATTTATTTCACAGAATAGTAGTCAATAATCAGCGAATTGTACAAATTACAATAAACACAAAAATCTAGAAACTGAGTATCAGTTAAAAATTTTTTTTCAAATGTGGAACAACTTTCTTAATCCCAAATTCAAACATAAACGCGATTTCTCAGATCAGTTACAATTGTTTTTTCAAATGTGGAACAAGTCTCTTAATCTCAAGTTGAAACATGAAAGGGATTTCTCAGTTTGTTATGGTGCTCTTGTTAACCATAGTCAAAAATTGTATTGATGAATGAATTACTTTTTCAATAAAAAGTAAAAATAGAACCTCTGGCCTAGACTAAATACAAAAACAATCACTTTTTCCAACCACAAACACTCGATGCACGTTTCACCAACCAAGTTGACGTCAATTGATGAAACCCGTGTCGAGAAGAGTATTGAAGATTTGTGATGATGAAAAGTGCTGTTTATTAATTCATACCTACAAAGATATCTACAGATATTTACAAAAATATGTCATATGTGGCATATGTAATACTGTATACCTTGGAGGGCACAGGAATAGAAATACTTATTGAATTTCACTAGTTTGGACTTTCATTGTCTAATATGTGTGTCTATTCCTCCGAGAGATGACTATTTATGGGTCGTTCGAGTACTTTCACTTATTTCCATTTTTCCGCTTCACTGGTTCAGTGGGAGATGACCGTTTGGCGGAAGTTGGCCATTTTTTGCTTGATGATGGGTTTCCATATGTTGCTTATCTCTACGCTAGCTTGGCTGAATACGTTGTTGGACAGCATGTATGCGGCTTCCTTGAATTTTCTCCTAAATCAATTTTCCTCTCTGTGTATGATCTCAGCTTGGGACCACTCGATGTTGTGTTGATGGTGATGAATCATTTTAATTTTACTAGTATTTTATTTCACTCTTATTTCATTTCCGGTTATTTTTGCTTAATATAATTGTTATTTATTTTTAATTCTTCTTTTTCAGTTGTTTTGGGGATTTCAAATCATTTTACATATTAGACAATGGAAGTCTGAATTACTGAAATTCATCATGAAACATTGTCAGTCACCTTCAAACAGAAATACTTATTATTACAACTTTTCAAACACGTATTTTCCTGGATAGATGTTCACGAATGTTTATGTCAGACATTTTGTGAAAATTCTATTTTTCTGAGCATCGCATTCATTTTTAACTGAAATTGAGCAATTTCTCTATTTGTATTTGTAACAACCTCATTTAATTATTTCAATAAAAAATCAAATCCTACTACATTTATATTTGAATTTGGACCCTATGGTCATGCTTTGTCAACAAGCTAATCTTATCAAGCATATTTATTACTATGAATATTAACTTTCATTATAGATCAGCTCATAACAAATACATATAAATTATGACTGTAGGCAGTAGAATCTGGCAACTTTTGAATAAGTATGTTTGGTTCGCAAGATTTTCCGAAACAAAAGCACATATCTGGAATCACCACTGAATAAGCATGTTAATAGAATCTAATTATTCTATTTGTGAAAAAAAATTAACAAAATTCGTTTTTAGAATATCACCAAAGCATTACCCTTCTAATCAAAAGATAAATTAAGAACCTATCAATAAGCTCTGGAAAGATAACTCTTGAAACCCTACTGTACTCGTCTATTTTTCTACTATAGCCATATCCAAATTAAAACCTTGTCTAACTTCAAGCATGATAACAAACTTCCTTTAAATGAAGTACAATGTTTGATTATACTCAAAGGTAGTTATTACTGAGTTCCAAATTGGTAGATTATCAATATATCATGTAAAAATCTAAATTTGTATATTAGGATGTACCTATTTGAAATTAAGTTTATTACAATTATTATAACTCTTATAGTATTTCTCATTTAGATAAACATACCTTGGCACATCATCATGTACAGTCTTAGATCCAAGTCTTCTTTTAACTGGAAGTTTATCCACCTTACAGCCATCATCATCTTGAACTTTTGGTCCTAAGCGATCTTTCACTGAAACTTTTTTGAACTGATCACAGTCACTACTGTTACTACTAGTGTTGTCAGAACCAGGTTCTGAAAATTCTTGTTGGAAGACTGTTCTAGCTACATTTGCCTTGGTTTCTTCTTTGGGGATTTTAGAAGTGTCAATATTTGCTTGTGGACTTTCAAGGCTGAACTTTTTCAAGAGTTCTTTATTGAATGGAGATGGATTGGATTCATCTCTCATAAATTCACTCTTTATTGGAGTTTTAAGATAATCTGGTTCGTTTCCGATTTCTGGCAGTTGAACAGGTGATTCTGGTTCTTTCTTGATTTCACTTTGAAGATTGGGAAAAGGGTTATGTGATTCATTTCTGAATTTTGACAGAAATTTATCGACTGCTTCGGCATAATCTGTATCTTCTTTTTTAATTTTGAATATGGGAAGTTCATCATCAGGTTTTTTCATTTCTGAATTTTGACAGAAATTTATCGACTGCTTCGGCATAATCTGTATCTTCTTTTTTAATTTTGAATATGGGAATTTCATCATCAGGTTTTTTCATTATACATGTAGGACTTTCATTTTTCAGTTGTTCTACTTTTATATCTGCTTGGATGTAATCATCTGGTTCTTTTTTCACGTTTATTTCTGTTTGGATGCAATCAACTGCTTCTTTTTTCACAATTATTTCTCCTTGGATGCAATCAGCTGGTTCTTTTTTTACAACAAAGCCAGCCGTCTCAGCATCCCAGGAATCCTAAAATTATTTATTCTTATTATTTGATATTCATAACAAACATTAGTTGAAGGATCAGCTAAATCACCCAGACTCCAGTCCAATTTAGGTGTAGCATTTATTAATATTCATATTAGTCTAAGAATAAGTATACAGAGGATACAGAAATATAATCAAAGATTAATATAAACTTACTTCATCAAATATCCGAGCATTTTTAAGGCTAGTGTTCATTGAAAATCTTTTGCTTCCACAACCTTCCATTGTAACAGTTTTCGACTAAGTAATGTCTACTATTTAGATAAATTATTTATAATATTTATTTGTGTTGGTGATATTTGTGTACAACTTTTAAAGATGGTCGAACATTGTGGCGCGCAAAACCAGTGAACAGTGTTGCCAACAGGATATTTTTCTTTTTGAAACATCACATATATACAGGGTGTTTCAGAATTCGACGGACAAACTTATACCACGTCATTCCTCTTGCAAAATGATGAAAAATGAGGTAGGACATGTGTGTCCGGAAATGAGCCGTTTCAGAAATACAGGGCGTTGAAGTTGCAAAATAAAAAGACCCTTTTCGTCGTAGCTCCCGGACTAAAAGGAATAAATTAATGAAACTCAGCAAATCGATTACGAGCTAGAATGTGCTTCCTCCAGTGGTATGTTTGCTTCAGTATCAGTAGCCAGTGGCGTTCCAGCGGGGTAATAGCTTATATTTCCCCCCTTATTTTTTACGCCACTGACTTTATATCCACAACCGTCTTTTTTTTGAATTCCTTGATCAATTTTACGTAAAAACCAAATAAACATTCAC